TCAAAAGGTAACAATATTAATAATAATAATAAACCATAGTCTAACAACGGACTCCCTTTGTAAATGATGTGGGTTCATTTTGATCTCACATTGAAAATGTTTGGAAAGAGGAGCAATGCTCATCTTACAAACATAATTACTTGCCCAACAATGTAGGCAAGTAACCTGGAGGGTGTGGTTGAGTGTAAGGGACTCATCCATTCTTAACCAAAGGTCAATGGTTCGATCCTAGGATTTGGGAATGGAGCAGCCTTAAATCTCTAAGTCAGTTGTCCCACCCAAAGGAGGTGCTTACAATTTAGCGAGGGGATTAGTCACTGTGTCCGACGGTGGAAACCCTGGGTTTACCAAAAAAAAAAAAAAATCAATATGGGCAAGTATTGAGAAGTCCAAAGTCTTTTTTTCTTTTTTTTTGGTGGTTAGAAGTAAAGGAAAATTAAAAATGGAAAGCAAATATTTCAATAATAATATTTTACATCATCAAATAGTAAAGACATATTTTAAAAAATAGTAAAGATAAATTAAAAATGGAACGAAAATATTTCATTAATAATATTCTACATCATCAAATTAAAATGAGACGAAAATTAGGTAAAATAATCACTGCATCTATATTCTAATTGACTAATTGATTGGAAATAAAAAAGAATAATTGACTGAAAATAAATCTAATATTACTAATTGACTGAAAATATAAAAGGAAATGAATATTAATAATTGACTGCAAATAAAAAATGATCTATAATTGACTAAAAAAATGGTCAGATCATTGCATTTTAATTACAAATGGAATGGAAATTAAAAATTGAAGGAAAATATTCCAATAATAATATTCTACATTATCAATAGTAAATGCATATTTTAAACAATAGTAAAGGTAAATTAAAAATGGAACGAAAATATTTCAATAATAATATCTACATCATCAATAAAAAATGGAACGAAAGTTAGGTAAAAAATCACTGCATTTGATATTCTAATTGACTAATTGACTGAAAATAAAAAAGAATAATTGGCTGAAAATGAATTTGATATTACGAATTGACTGAAAATATAAAAGGATAACTAATTGATTGATATTCTACCATTATATATTTTCACCCAAGTAACCCGATGGAGAAGATGTTAGCTCTAGACGAAGATGTTAGCTCTAGACGAAGATGAACAAGATTGTGTTGTCACTACCAATGTCGTCTACAAAGAGGTTTCAATAATGTGTAAATATAATCGGTGATATTAATTTTTTTTAAATGAAAAAATTGCTATATATCTAGACAAAATATTATATCTTCCATACAAATGAATAAGGATAACAATTCATTTCTATAACTGAGTTTTTAGAGAACGAGCACATTTGCCTAATGTATGAAAATACTAAACAATGATAAATAAAATCTTCAAAATTATAGGACCGCACCCATACATCTAGACATTAGCTATTAATTTGAGCAATTATTTGCACAAATTCAAGCAATGATAACATTAAAATATATAAACGATTCAAATCATATCTTTAATCGCACTATATAATATTTGATGTTCTAATTTAAATAATTATATATCGATTCATATATTCTTAATATATTACAACAAATCCATTCCGTGCATCGCAAGGGTGCAAATACTAGTTCATCAAAATACCTATTTCACCAAAAAAAAAAAAAAAAAAAAAAAAAAAAAAAAAATAAGAGAAGAAAATATTAAATTTCAAACTTTAACATTTAAAAAGCCAAAAGCCAAAATTCAAAATAGAATAATAATAGTAATTCTTACCCCATAGATATGCACACTTAAATATTTAATCACAATAATTCACCTTAAAAATTATCAAATTTCGAAATAAAAAATAAATAAAAAAAATTTCAAAAGTATTAACCTACCCACAATAATATATAAGCACAAAAAATAATCATAAATGTATACATATATTTACCAAAATTAATATTCTTTAACATAAAAATAAAAAATAATCACAAATTAATATAAATTCGAAATAAAATTTCTAAAAATAATAAAATATTACATTTATCAAAATAATAATAAAACACACATATATTATTAACCACTAAAAAAAACGGATCGTATGTACCGGTGGAGGCAGCGACCAACGACGATGGCGGTGGCTGGCTGGCGCAGAGGCGTCGATTGTAGCAGTGGTAGTGTCGGCAGTCTTGCGGATCGCCAGAAACAGCAGTGATTGTCTCGGCGTCGCGGTGGACACGGAAAAGCTTGCCTTTAAAAAAAAATTAGTACGTACTTTCCGCAACCGTTTCTACGAGGAACGTAACGCTCGCGAAAAGTACAAGCGTTTTAAAAACTGCGTCCGTTTTAATTAACAACGAATGTGGATTCTTGATCAATTATTTATGAAATTGTAATCGCGAATTTTTAAAAAAATATAATACACCACCCTTGTTTTAAGAATAATAGCGAAAAGTCAATCTCCTATGCTTTTGCTATAGTGTTATCGGTTATCATCTCACTTCAATATATATAAGTGGGGGCATAATTTTAAATGAAATAAAATAACATCCTACTATCCACTTAATCTGGAGGAGTGTAAATAACATTTGTGTAATCAAATACCGAATACGCACCACCAACAATTTGCCTTCCCCACTTCCCGTTTGGGCTCCCTAATTTCCATAATGACCGTTTCATCAACTTTTTGGTATTAATGTCATAAAGCATCAGTTTAACAAGTATTTTTGCTGCCTAGCTACTCGACTTCACCAGATCAATCCATCGGATAATTATCATATCGGAATCGGAATGGGTTTCAAAGATCTTCATCTCAAGCTAGCCAAGGTAGGTATCCTCTCTCTATCTATATATATGAATCTTCATTTTTTGGATCAAAACACGGATTGGTTTTCAGTTTCATCCAAAGTTGTCTGGCTTTTATAGTAAGGGCTATGTTTCAACTTGATATATACGTGTATGGAAATGATATATATATATATATATATATATATATATATATATATATGGTGGTATTTTATTAATTTTATGTATATGTTTCTTTCTTTGTTATATTAGTTGATGAGTAGTTGTGATTCACTGATTTGGGCAGAGGTTTGGGATGGGAAGATTTCTGGGCAGAGACGGCGGCGGTGGAAATGAGAAGAAGGGGAAGAGGCGGTTTTCATGGATGACGCCAGTATCGCATGGCTACTATGCGGTGGAGGGAAGATCGCCGCCGGCGGAGAGTGACGATGAGGTGGTGGTGCAACGTGAACAGGTGGAGGACAACGAGTGGTGGTTCTATGGAGTTTTGAACGCTAGGATTGGTGCTGGAGTGACTGAGTACTTGCAAGACAATTTGTTCAACCACAAGCTCAATGAGGTAAATACAACTAATTTTTTTTTTTTTTTCTAAATTTATGTGAAATCTCTTTTCAATCTAATCATGTGGATCATTGTTAAAATTTGTCCGTCAAGCTTATCTTCATTTTTATTTTTTTATACATATATGTGTGAGCGCACAAATCCTCTTAGAAATTTTTGGGTTCTAGTCTCATCACCAAATAATTTTTCAGAAAAAGTTTGACTAATATGATGATTTTAACATTACAATTACTTTACTTTGTATGAACTGTATCATTAATAAATGCAAATATTTTTTTGTTAAGATAAAACAATTTTATATACATTATATTTCTAAACTCTATAGTTTATGCTGATTCTGTAAAACTCGAACTCATAACTTTAAATTATAAAACTATCGTATTATATACTAAGAAGGATTATAAAGTGTGGGGAGAAATTACTAATTACTAATAGAAGTATAGAACATTCTTACATAAGGATGTTTGATTATAAAATTTAATTGGTTTGGTTCGAATAAGAAAATCATGGTGTAATGTAATGGTGTTTGGGAATTTCATTCTTTATTTTAATTGTTGTATATACAAGTGGGATTGCATTTCTTTCTTTTTGGTACTAATAGGTGGGACTGTAATATCATAGTTCTAAATTATAGTACCGTCTCCTATCCCATAGGTCCGTACAGCTAATTTGACTTTGATTGTAATATCGTCATATTATTTGAGAAAATAAAGTTAAACAATTAATTTAAGATGAAAAATATAAATCAAATTCAAGATTAATGGGGTATTTTGGTAAATAACTGTTAGCTTGTTGGGTTAGTGGGTTTGACCAGTTGATAGTATTAGCTGATTGTAGAAAAATATTTGGTAAATTAGTTGTTAGCTGATAGTTGATTACATGCAAAATTACTTCCCAAAAAGCTGATTGAAAAAAACTGCTTTGAACAACTTTTTAAATTTTAATATTTTGGAGTAATTAATCTCATATTGATTGTTTAACCAAGTTAACAGCTAATAGTGGTCAAATAATAAAATTGGCTAATAACTATTAAGCTAACTATGTTACTGATAGGAAAGATTAAGGGTTAGTCTTAGAACTAAAATATGATCTCTATATATGGTTCATAGTTTGGGGTACTATGTCCTACAGTCACAGATGAGAAGGAAGAGCAAGGAAACAATGAAGAAGGCACACCTGAGGGCAAGAGCAAAGATCATGGAAACGGCAAAGGGATCATCATGCAAGGTTGGTTCAGCATCTGCAATTGTGATCAATGGAGAGAGGCTTGTAATAGCAAAGATGGGCGATTACAAAGCTGTCATCTGCAAAGATGGGGAGGCCTTCCAAATTGGTACAAGGCACTGGCAGAAGAGACAACATTGGTCCAATAAACTCTTTCCAGGCATGATTATCTATCACTTTAACCCCTCTCATATTTCTCATCTTTCAACACAGTCTCAACTTAATGTTGTTCGTGTCAGGAGCTATAAGGTTTCCTAGAATGCAAACAACAACAAGTGCCTCTGATACAAGCAATGCAGATGGATCCGAGGACTTTAAAAGCTTAGAACTTGCTGTTGCATGTGAGAGGATAGATGGTAACACCGAATTTGTCATCCTTGCAAGTACTGGTGTGTGGGAGGTAAGTTTTAGCTAAATTAACAAGAGAATGATCTTAAATGGATTATTTTTTTTATTATCCAAAACTGGGTGTGTTATACATCCTGTCAATATCTAGTAAAATACCATAGCTAACTATCTTACTGTTCTGTATAAGACGACTTCACAAAAATTGATGATTGTTTTCTGTCGTTTAAGGTTATGAAGGAGCAAGAGGCTGTGAACCTGATCAGGCACTTTGAGAACCCGCAAGCAGCTGCTGAATGTTTAGCAAAAGAGGCTTTAACCAGGATGAGCAAAAGCAAGATTGCTTGTTTGATCATTTGGTTTGACTGAAGCTGCAAAACATCGTTCTTAAATTTCAGAAACAGGAATCTGGACTGCTGAAAGTAAAATAGTGTTGTTTATCCGATTAATTAATGGTACTTCTTGGTACATGATACATAGAGGCCTTTTATGTAAACCGTATTTGTAGGGGGATTTAATGGCCAGAACAACCACTAATTTCAAGCTGAAGTCAAATGCCGCTATATAACAAACACTCAACTAATCAATGACAGATACCTTCACAACTGACAACCCAAACCCCCCACCCCCCAGAAAATTTAGAAAGGAAAAAAAAAAAAAAAAAAAAAAAACCGTTTCACCATCCCCAGAGAAATTCAGTGACTCACTAGTCACTACACTCCATTCATGTATATGAATTGCAAATGCATATCAGCCTTATAATGTCTTGGTTTCATTGATGCAATCAGTTAACATACAATAACAACATGACTTACTTTAGTAACCCCATCTTTTTATGATGTCAGCTTCTTCTCACTCCTCCAGAAGGGAGATAACAAAGAAAAGTGGCGAGCTGTACCCATATAAGTATCATAAGTATCAGTTCTCTTTCAAAAAAGATTAAAGAATTTACATGATAGGCAGGTGCAGCATTATACTTACACTTTTGAACAGCATTACCAGTGATTGGGGTTTCATCTTGTGATATCAAATTCTTCAATGTACAAGCTGAAAGAACAAGTTTACAGGTCAGCTTAAAACAAATTGTAAGCACAGTACCCCTTCTATCTTACATTCTTACCAACTGCCATAGCATAAACAAAATGTACACGCATGATTGGTTCCATCATATTACAGAAGAAAGGAAACAGAGCAATTCTTCCATCATATTAAGTTGCCAATTTCATATTTTCACTGAAATTGACTTGCTATTCTCTGTATTGTTCAATAATCAGAAATCACATAAAAATTAACTATAGGCATTGGAAAAGTATCCCTGTTTAAGCCCCACCCACACCCAAACTTTATTTATTTCTGTTCTCCTCCAGTTTTCTTTCTCTTGCGGAGATATGGTCTTTTGGTGAACAGAAAATAAGATGATCAAGTTAAAGTTCTTGTTTTCAATCAATTTTCATCATGTCTCATTCTGCACAGGTGCTGCTTTGCTCTTTTATGCTTCTAATGTTAGGTATGAAACAGAAAGCAAATTTTTAATTGCAATGAAAGCCCAATTAAAGTTAACCAACCCAACACAGATATTCCAACCTACAAGGGGTTTGTGCTAACATGACAATAAATCTGCCAAAATGAGAAGAATGACAGTTTACAATTTAACAATGCTTGTGCATCATCTCAAAATGTTGATGAGGCACTAAATGTCATTTAGAGGACAAGACATCAGATTGGCCTTGATTGGCGCAATTAGTTGTAAGTGGTTAATGGATTATGTTAACTAGTTTGTTCAGCTAATACTATTAGCTATTGTAAAGAAGTGTTTGGAAAAATTATTTGTTAGTAGATAACATGTAGAATGACTTGTAAGGACGTAAATATATTTTATAATAACAATTTATTAATTATATAATAATTACATTTAATAAATAATATTATTATTTATAATTTATAATAAAAAAATAACAATTAAAAACAGATAATAATAATAATAATAATAATAATAATAATAATAAAGAACAATTAATAAAAGATCTTTTTTTTTTTTTACTATTTTTCATTAAAAAAAATAAACAATTTAAAATTTAAAATAAAATAAAAATCCTGGGTTAAAAATGAAAAGTTTAAAAAAAAAAAAATGAAAGGGGAAGGGATCTTATAGTTTTGTAAGAGAAGTAGGAGAGCATTAAAGGAATTTGATTTTTTTTTTTTCCCAAAAGTCAAAGTAAATCGCAGCTCAATAGTTTTTTCAAAATTGACTTTTTGGGTCTAAAAAAGTTATTAACCAAACACTCACTTTAGCTATTTGACCAAGTCAAACAACTAAAATGAGTCATCAGCTAAAAGCTAAGGCAAATGCCATTTACCAAACAAGGCCAGTAGAAAGAACACACAAATAAAACCATTATTTGCTGTCAAATGCATGAATACTACATGTATGATTTGGCAGTATCAATTCATAGCTGGGCACATTTAGATAAACCATTATTTGTTGTTAAATAGTTAAATGCATGAATTTATTTTCTAACTACTTTGAGAACTATAAATGCCTATGAATAATTTGGATACTTGGTTAAGGATTTCACATCCAATGGCACTCAAGCATGCTAGAACCATAAATAGAGCAGGTTCCACTAGTTTTTGACAGAAAAGAAGGATTACATATCCAAATTCATTGATATGTGGCTTGTGGTCAAGTTCACATTACCTTCACTTGATGAAGTAGTACTTGTTGCATGATCATCCTGCTTTAGCCCATTAACACTTTTGCTGTCTGATTCAAGAGTTTTATCACTTGCAATGAGTGATTGATTCTTTTTGCAGAACTTCCAGAGCCGCCTGAAGCCTCTTGGTTGCTCCTTAACCTGAGTCTTTGCTGAAGCATCTCGACTGTTATATACTCTAACAGTTTTAGCATCATTGGCATGTGCTTTTGTTGGTTCTGCTGATGCCAAGTCTGAGACTGCTGGTGGTGCTTTGGAATACTCTGAGTTTCTAGTACAGGGTTCTTCTACGGAGGAGTTACAAGCATAGGGAGCTTGATAGGGTTTTCCAGAAAGATCAATATTAGCAAATTTGGGTGTCTCCTCTGCATAACTTGTTCCCACCTGATCACACACCCAAGAAAAACTTTGGTTTTTAAGGGGAAAGATTGGAAATTTTAGAAGTAGGGACGGAAAATTTTTGATAATTAATGCATGTAGAGAATTAGTTCCCTGTTTGATGCTCCCTGCATTCAACTTGCAGTAATTGAGTTCAAGAAAAAAAAAAAAAAAAAAAAAAAAAGATCTACCAGTAAAAACAAGAGTTAGAACTGTTATTGTAGCCATTCTAAATTCATCAATAATTTTTTCTCCTGCCTGTCTTGTATTCAAACCAGCACTGTGATAACACAACCTTGTGCTTTTCACACAGTTCATGTTAAGTACCTTGGGAAACTCCAGTAATAGTTAGTGGAGATTGTTATTTGCTTGCAAAGCTACCTTCGAGGAAAACTAAAGAAGCGGCTAGTGACCAAAGTTATTTTATCAGTATTACCTCCTGTGAATTCAGTTGTCCCTGATGCCAGCCTGGAATAGGATCCCGGACAAATCCTACAAAGGGTGAAGGAGGTGCATCTGTGGAAGCATGCTCACACGCCACTGTACTTTTCTTCCCCGTGCCACGAGTATCAGACTGTTGGTTATATACTGCAGAATCTTCAACTGATACATGCGTAACAGGTAAGGATGCACTTTCATACTCAAGCATTACAACAGTCTTCTCAACAATGTTTTCATCTCCTTCACCCTCAAGTGAACCTTTTCTATCATTCATGAATGATTTATCAGGGTGTATATCTGAAAGTTCTTTTGGAGTTCTAATCTTCAGTTCAGGAAGAGTTGCAGCCTTTCTCTTATCAAGGTCCATGATTTCTGATATTTTGTTGTTTTCAGGTCCTGCAGATTTCTTTGGTTTTGTTACTGCTGCTCCAGAGCTACGGATTTTTGCCTTTGATACTGGTTCTGCACTATGTGCCTTGACCGATGCAACAGGCCAGTTGATAGTTTTGGGCTCAGATAATCTTCTAAGCCTTGCTATGGATGCTTTCGAATCAGGTGTAACACTGTTGCTACTTTCCTTATTGGGATCAAACAATGATGTTGCTGGTTTTGTCAACCGGTTATTTTCCAACCGCCCATCACTTGATTTACTTGTTTTTGGGGCTTTTTGTGGATTAGTTGATACAAGAGGTGTTCTTATTTTGGATCTCTGTAAGGGTGATGATGATCCAGGTTCTGAATCACTGAACTTTGATCCTCTGACAGGGGTGGGGGATAACTTTCTTGGCAGTCTTCTTGTTTGTGATTGAGGTGCCACTGAATTGGCAGAAATGGAGCTGCCTCTTGCTGCAATTCTCCTTTGCCTTTCCAATTTTAAAGTTTCCAGGCGTTTAAGATCTTCCTCTTCCTGTGAAAATTTAAAAAAATAAAAACAATTGGAACATTTTTAAGCCTGGATAGAAAATTAGAAATATGGTGTAGTTGTAGTTATGCGTGCACTAGATATCTAACTATGAAGGAAATGTACCTTCTCTTTTTTCATCTTCTGGATATCAGCTTTAAAGGATCTTATTTTATCTGCACGTGCTCGTGCATCATCTAAAGGACTTGTCTTGGATAACTTCCCTCTTCTTATGGGTCCTACAGTCTTTTTCTTATCCAAATCAGCAGTAACTTTTGCCCTCCAGTCCTTGTCCAATTTCTTAGGTACTTCCTTCATATTACTGGAGGTTTCCTTTTTTCCTTTCTTCCCTGAAGCACTATCTTCAAGATGAACTTGCATCTCATAGTCCCAAGTTGGGTCATACCCACTGGAACTTTTTTCTGTCTCACGTTCAGGAATCAGGCCCAGATCACTAGGCTCATAATCGATTTGGCTTCTAACTCCATTAGAGTTGTTTTCTGTGTTTTTAGTAGTTCTAGGAAGCTCAGAATCCATATTAATGGTAGTTGTATTTTCTGGTACAGCATCATCCAATAGCATTGACCTAAATGGTATTATAAAAGATTCATCAGCCATATATTGTGAGGAAGTTTTCTCCAGTTTATTAGCCACTTTTTCAATTCCATGTTTAGCAAGTGGATCTATGGAATTTCTCAATCCTGAAAGGTTTTCTCGACCAGCCAACATAAAATCATCATTTGCTGTTCTGGAACAGACCCTTTTCCCATTTATACTAAGTTTATGGATGTCATTCTTCCTACTATCCTGTAATTCATCAGAACTTTGCCCACCAAGTGTTGTATAATCATCACAGATGGGATTTTGCTGCCCCCTCCTCAGTCCTTTCTCCATTGCAAACATGTGATCCTTTGCAGTACAATTATCTTCATTGGTTTCTCTGAATAATAAGTTTTGAAATGCTAGCCAGTGTCCACTATCAATTTCTGCCTCATTGACAACTTTCCCTTCTCTGTCATATGAATTTGACTCACTCCAAGACTTTGGATAGCTACCCTTTGCTTTAGATGATCGAGAAGCTTCATTCTGCCTGTGGAGATCACTGTCTAGAAGATCTTCAGGGTCTACATCGCTTTGTGTATCAGAAGCTGATTCAGAGTTGTTACTGGTGGAGTTCTTTGGTTTTGAAATATAATTGACGTTCTGAATAACAATCTTTCTTGACTGCCCATTTCTTGCTTTCTTCTTCTGCTCTTGATGCTGGGAATCTTCATTGTCCCACTCTGCTTCATCCAATCTCTGGTTGCTATTGTTATTATACATTGATTGTCTTTTTGGTCCTGTTCTCTGCATGACACCCACCAGAGGGCTATTTTGTGAATAAGTCTGACAATATGGGACTCCTTGAACTGGGTATGGTTGCAAAAGAGGTAGGGCAGAGGCTGGAGAATGCATTGGCCAGGGAGGAAACTGCCCTTGAAGGTATTCTTGTTGACTTTTTGGCACCTGCTGATCTATAGGAGGCCCTTCACCTTGACAAGTAAAACATAAAATAATTTATATATAGTTTGTAAATTTGTTATTTCTTTGATGGAGCACATTCAAATTCTTTTTATACACCATATTTCACATCATATTTGGTTAGGTTGCTTTATGGAGGATGATGATGATGATAATGATATCCCAGGCTACCATTTTTGTTGAGGAATTTACTAAGCATGCAATTATTCAAAGGGCTTGAATTTTGATTTTTTAGGTGTATCAAACACTACATCTTTTTTTAGATTGCATAGAAACAAGTTATTCATGGCCTTATGGTCAAGTTTACAAGTCATTTTAACAGTTAATTTGCAACCTTGCAATAGAAAATTGATATATCCTTTCTGTGAACTTTGACAGCACCTCATAAGTTGGGAATTAAGACCCATGTTTTATGCTTTTTATCTTGGGTGCTCACATGCACTTGTAATTACTAGGGGCAAAATATCTAGGATATAAGCAGATTTTCAAGAGTGCTATAGATTTTTTTTTTTTATTTTTTAATTTGGTTATAATAAAAAATAAAATAAAATAAAATAAAAAAGACTTTGCTTCCTTACCTGCAGTACCATCCGTTGTTAGCTTATCATTACTGTCTGATGTTTTCTCACTGCTGGAATGAGAAAACATAATACCAGATGGATCAGGTTGGCTTGCCATTGCTGCTACTGCTCCATTTTCAAGCCATTGTCTAGTTCCATGTTTTATCTTCCAGAGTTCGATGAATCTTAAGCAGGCATCCCTGTAGAACACAAATATCAGTTAATAATTTTCAGGAGGGAAAGGAAGGGAACTTATAAAGAAAGTATGAGGATAAGGAAAATTCATTTCTCTTTGTTTGGTTTAAATTTTCTTTCTCCAGTTCAACAAAATAAATAAGAGCTAAAGAGAAAAACATTTTATTTCCTACATACTGTAAGGGAAAACTTCATAACTTTTATCTTTTGCTTCCTTCCCTACCATTCAACACAATTATGACATTTCTTACCTCAAACGTGAGGCTCCAAAGCATTTACCAAAGGACAGCAGGAGTGGCATGTCATCAAAATGAAAACCAGCAGCTACAGCACGTGCAAAAGCCATACCCTGATCTTTTTCCAGCACGGATTTGCGAGTCTCTAGGACTTTCAATATCTGTACTCTAATAGACATGCCAATAAAAAATTACACTCTTGGATATGTTCTAGACTTTATTTCTTCTATGGCAAGTCAACTACCAAGTATGTATTTGAAGAACACCAAAGGTGTGCAAATACACACCTCACCCTAACCAAAATTCACTGTGAGATTGCTACTATTTTACTCCTTTATTTAATCCTAAGTTATGTTCTTCTATGTGAAAGTTTATATCCTTTGACCAGAGAATAATATGACCTTTCAGAAAAAAGTTCACAAACATGATTGAGAACTTCTTACCACACATCATGCGAGCCGATACACATGTAAAAAAACAATAAATAAATAAAAAAATAAAGAAGAAGAAAGATGCACTTGCCAGCCAACCAAACAAAAATGACATTGATACAATAGGAAGAATAATAATGAAACTAAAACTCTAAGATAAACACCTACTTGGATGAGTGCACAATGATGAAAACAGAAAATACAAATGAAGGAATTCTCATGCAAAATTAAACTCTAACCAAATTGAGCATATTTTTAGGATCAAGCAAAATTAGGTGTAAACTGCTATTACTTCAAAAATAATGCATACCTAGAATTCCCTTCCTGTGGAGATGAACTACTTGTTTCAGGTTGATGCTCCTCAGGCTGCATGGAAAATAAAAAATAGAATATAAAGATCAACAAAAACAAAATGAAAAACAGAAGCACAATTAAAAGTGTACAGGACCCAACAATTACCTTGTAAAGGACAACAGCTTTATCATCATTAACAACTGTCTTGGGTTTGTTACCTGGCAAAATCTTTTAGTGTTAAAATGTGTTACTGAGTACCTCATGTACTCACTGGCAGCATCCTAGACCTTATTGGTAAAATATGCATGGTACTTCTAGTCTTCTACTCAAGGCATAAAGAAAGGAGTGGAGAAAGATTGGAATACTGAAAAGGAATAACCAACAGACCCAACGCAGTAATATTATGCTTGGTAAATGGGAAATCACACTACCACCACCTAGGGAGCTTCAAAGGGAAATGAGATAATGAAATTGAACCACATTGAAGATAACAAATTTTTAGCACATACTTGATTGATCAGGAAGGGTATAATCAGACTAAAGTATACAACAGTGAAACAAGGGAAGAAGCCTTATACAAACAACCTTATTCTAAAGATAACAATTTATTTGTTTCTCATGGATTACCATCACAGTTTCCCAACAGCTTTGTTTGATGATCTTCAACCTGTTGGAGAAACAAGATATGTGGAACTGAGCTTATAAGTTATAACTTGGATGAAAGAAAACTACTTGACTTGAAATACTTACAAGGCCATTTTGAGTATCATTTTTCCCTTGAATGGCAATTGCTTCATCAATTTGTATGATCTCAGATTCTATTATGTACACTCTTTCAAGGATTTCTGGAGTGCTCACAAAACGAACAAACCTATGGAAAGCAACAATTGTCAGATGCAAATACTCAATTATCCTTAAAAGATTCAACCAAAGGTTTAACATTGATCATGCTGTTATAACAATTGTTCTTTAGTGTTTTTTTTTTGTTTGTTTCAAAAATTGCTAACATAGTTTTTTTTTTTTTTTTTTTGAATCACTTTATAAAGCCTAGTAAAAGACTCATTTAGCTGGGGGAACAATAGTCAATGGCACTGCTTGGTGTTATCTTGGAAGGGCAGCATCATAACAGTAAGCATAACCTTAGTGAATTAAATGAGATTTGAAATAATATTTCCATTCTGGAATTGATTTTTTGCAACTAATCTAGAACTTTGAAATTCTAAAAAAGGATGTATATTTTCCATAAAAGGAAAGCATTCCAATTCATAGTGCTTAGTGGAATGTATAAAGGAAAGAATACTGTAGTAATTCAAAGGAGGCACCTTGCCTAAGCAAGTTTAAAATAGTCCAGAAAAGTGTCAGTTAACTGGAATTTGTTACCAGATCCCCCACAGGGTTACATCAACATACAAACCTTTCCACGGTGCCCTTTGTAAACCACGAAGCAACACTCTGAGGATCTGGTTCAAGCACAATTGAGTAACCAGCCTTGGCAATTTGATCCTGAGCAGTTTTCAGGTGTGCAAGAAAAGGATTTAACAGGCCAGAAGCAATTTTCTCTTTCTTCCCATTAGCTATAATAATCAAATCACATCTGGCAATAAAAAGCAGTTGTGCTTTTGTCAGTAAAAGGTCAAATTGGCAATTCAAAATTCATAGCCATTATCATCACAATGACTAACAGGAAATATATCTAAAGGAGCATGGTCCATCTGAACATGAACGCACAAAAATTGCTATTTATTTTGGTTCCAACTCAATTTAAGCACATTGCAAACAAAGTAAGAAAAAAAAATGAAAGAAACGCAAGAATTACTAATACATCCAATTATAATTTGTAGAGAAATTTTAGTTTTGCTAGCAATAAGGTACTGAGGGATCATTGTCATTTCAATTTAAATACCTACAGTCAATCAGAATTGTCACCTAAGTTTCTACTTAAATACACGTGATATTTGCATCCAGTTTTTAACTCTATTAAATCTCGATGCGTGCAGAAAGATTCAAGCTGTGAAAAACGACATCTTTTCACTTGAAAAAATATAAAACTAATCAGCATATATATAGAAAAATAATAACTGATATTTAAATCAATTGTCAACTGCGAGCAACAACAGACAACAATCATGACTACAAATTCCGCCCAACGGTCACATGCCTACAATGTCCACGTCATCATCAAATACACTCGACTTGGATCGATTTACACCTCTAGTCACACCCGATCATCATCACTCAAACAAACATCGAAACAAACAAAACAAATTACCATTACCATTTCTGCAACACCTTCAATCAGCAAATTTACCTGGTTCGAGTAGGAGTTAGGTGGAACACTACAGAGTCAAGCTGAGTACTCGGCTTCATTGCTGATTCAAACTGATGATCCGACTGTCCGAGCTGGAGTTACCTCAACAGCAAGTTATTATAGATCTTAAAGCCGATAAAAGAATGAGCCTACGAATCTTCAAAAACGTTATATACACAACCAGCTTAGCTGATCAAATCTACAAAACTACTCAGATTTTCCGATCGTTTACACTTCATAGAAAATATCGAAGAAATATGCTCATTTGAGAGCTCAGAAACAGCAAAGTCTAGAAGCCGAACGGAATGCAACTGCGGCGGCAGTGAAGGAAATGCATTCACTTCCACTGTGTTTTAGAGAGAGAGAGATTTTATGTACAAACAAAATAGGTAGAGAGAGAGAGAGATGCTTTGGATACCGACGAGAGTGAATGGGAGAGGGGCAGAGGATATATCAGTCAGAAGAATAGCCGTTGAAACTCGCCTGAGGTAAAAAATAAAAATGAGGGAAAAAAAATGACAAGATAAAAGTTGGACTGCCTTTTAGTTACTGATTTACTTTTTTACTACCTTTGCAACGTGACAGCGATGATGGAGATCATACCACTTTTAGTCCCTCGTATGATCTTTTCATTCCTTTTTTTTTTTAAGTCACTGACTCTATTAGATTGTAATATCTGTTCATCTATATTTTCTCAACTTGTTAAAACATAAAGAGTCAACACCACTTTTACTGAGACTGGATCTCATGACTTCCTATATGTGAGAGTCACTAATATTTTCATTTGTAATTATTAATTATTAATTTAATTATTTTTAAAATTTTCAATTTAATTAATGATAAAAATAATTAAAACTGGATCTAAATTAATCTCGAATAAAAGACAAACAATGTGATGGTATAATAATAAGAAATGTCTAATTTTATTTATTAATTGCTTGTGTATTATAATGATTATGTGTTTGTAAATAAAAGATGTGCGGTCCTTTTGAAACAAGTTTCAAGTATTTATATTAGCTCTCTAACATCTTTCGGGCTTTGAACCAATGACTCGAGCGTCTCCAACAATTGCGCTAACCCTGTATTCTCTTTTGGTTCAAATTGAACTCTCACCAACCTCAATCGAGCCTACCTCAAGGTCAAACCTCGAGTCACTCAAGGTCATTCTATGCCTACTACTCTCGAATTTCGCTTTCCCTTAGGCTTATCTTGTTGGACCGAATCTAATATCTATATTGGTTAAATATATTTTAAAATGTTTAGCATTCAACGAATGTCATCGTTTGTATACAAGAACATTTTAGATATTTTCTGAATTAATGTAATTAATTTGAAAAAAAATCGAAGAGATAAAAGTGTTCAAATTTATTATTGATAGTCAATAACTAAAAGTGAAAATGTGTATCAAATTAAAAAGTGAAATTAATTCTATCAATTGTCAAATTAAAGAGGTTAGATATACTCAAAATTTACATTTAAATTTGTACTTATTATTAACATAGTTTTATTTGATAAATTTGTGCTAATGTTGATTAATTTAGGGATATATAAATGGTTCTCATGTCAAAAATTGCAACATTTTAATTACAACAAGCATATTTTTATATTACTTGTTATGTTGTTGTGCACAAAAGTTAATTCAAAATTTGATGATTTGTGTTGAGCATATAATATAACATAAACATAAATGTGCAATCCAACTATTAGCTTAGGCTTTCAGTTGAGATGGAACACATGCTTTCATTTGGTATCAGAGTCATGCCAAAAGTCATGGGTTAGAAGCATCGGCATTTAACTAAGTTTACTGAATCATTGAATCACCGTAATTTACATCCTTCTAAATGTTCTATTGGGTCAGGGTATGGGAGCCCTTGGAGTTGGAGATTTTACTTTTTGGGGAAGAAAAAAGCACAAAAATGCAGGTAGGGTGAAATAAGATGCAATTAATGTAGTAGTTAGGGCGACACAATTATACCACTACAAAAGGTAAGGTTAGGTTAACCATCAGGTAGTCTGGACTCAAAATTGAAGTCATGATGACACCACCATCTTGTTAAGTCAAAGAATTATAATGTCAAGCGGTGGCTAAAAATATGATGACCGTGACTAATGGAGCATACCATAAGATTGTCATTAGCATCAACAATGTAGATCATTAGGCAATTTCCTTCCCCAAGTAGACCCCAACATTAATATTAGGAGGATATTCGCTGATCAATATGTCGACTCATTATTAAGTGTAGGATAAAATAATTTCACTGTTACATCGAAGAGTGAAACCCATCTATGGGTTTGCTCTAAAAACACAAACAACAGAGGAACCAAAACAACACATATTGTTGACACTCTTTTATAAGTATTGATTACTAACACACCACTTTAGGTGATTCTTGAACAACCATAATTCAATACATCCCTCAATCCAAGGGCTCTTATCCGGTGAGGTATAATGGCTTAATTTAGTGTTGCACCTACTGGACTAGTGGTCCCTATCAATCAATTTATTATAACGAAATATTGACACCAAATCTATATTGGCAGTTTAAGATGCCTACATGATTCTCTCAAGTCTCAACTACTCTCAATCAAAAATCATAACACATTAACACTTCATGACAACAACAACAACAACAAATATTTCTTTATACTCTAATACTTATAAATCAAGTCAATACCTTTATTATCATATAATCAGCACAAAATCATCATACTCACTGATGTCCTAATACAATTTATTTCTCTGGACCATATAAATAATGAATGTTTGATCCATCATTCATGCCCTCACCCCTCCCCTTGGCCCATTTGAGCAGTTTAGCCAAGGGTCATCTACAGGAGAACCCATTCAATGATGAGATAGCTTTAGTTTCTACAATATTTCCAACGATCCGACAGATTAGTTTATTAAAGCAAGTGGCGTATATGTCCTTCCTGTGCAGCTGTGCCAATAGTCAGAAGCCCAAAGCTTCTATGTGTACCATCTTGGCAACCAAAAGTGGCAGCAGCAAGGGTGGAAATGGAGAATACAGGCCGTATTCTTTTGGTTGATGAAAAATGGTTTTTGGTAGTGTGCACATTCTAACAGAATCATCTTGCTAAGGAGTAAAATGTGCAGAGAAAAGATTTAGGCTCTACCTACCCCACACTGCAGCAACTGAAATGGCAACTCTTGAAGAATCCTTAGTGCAACCATTCCTTCTAGCAAATGTCTCCACAGCAAAAGAGTAGTGCAAGCTTTCTGCATGGTAATACAATAAAATTGTAAGGGCCAGTCTAGTAATCTTCCTTACATGATTCAAGAGTATAAACCCTTTGCTTCAATCCATCCCAAAATAAGGGAAAGGGACAAAAATGCTTTCAAGTTTCAACCTTAACACACCTAGAAATTGGAGTGTCAATGTAGCTTTACCAACTTTGGCAGCTGACTTGTTGCTATATGAGCAAATTAAGACTACAATAGCTGAGTTGCTGAGTTCCTCCATTTCATTTCCCTTTGAAGCTCCGTAGATATGCGTTTCCTCAATTGCATGGCTACATGACAACTCTTTCATGCTCAATTTCAAAAGTAACATGACAATTTGTTTCACCAATAATCTCCACATGAGCATACCCCGTCTTTAAAATGGTGATATCTATTATTGTCTCTAACAATTATCTCCCTCCCCATAATCTTGGATATGAACTTAGTGGCTGTGTGACAGTCCACGCATACCCGAAGATTCTTTGTCACCCGGATTGTTGTCCCTGCGGGTGTGTTAATAATTGCGAATGCTATTGCAAGCCGTTCACTGTGAGCAAAAAATAAACCATGCTTCTGCTCCTCATCAACATCATGTAATGCCTCACTCGTCTCAGGAACATATCCTTCTAATTTCAACCGTTCTAAAATGTCTTGCAATGCCATTTCTATCTGAATATATTGTGGATGAGATTTGTCTCCAGAGACAAAAGCATGTACTTTGTTCTTAACTTCAACCCAGCTGCAAGCTGGTGTCTTTCTCATTCCTTTCTTCTTCATATTTTTTCTAAGTTTTAGTGCATCTTTCCATCGTCCAGTAACAGAATACATATTTGACAAGAGTACATAGGGACCCAAATTCTCGGGATCAACTTTAGTTATTTCATTGGCAACTTTTTCAGCAAGTTCAACATTTTTGTGAACTCTGCAAGCTGACAACAAAGTGGACCAAACACTCCCAGTTGGTTTAATATGCATGCTAGAGATTAATTCATATGCTTCCACTAGTCTCCCTGCTCGGCCAAAAAGGTCTGCAACCGCAGCATAGTGCTCAAGCCCTGGGGATATCCCATATTTGTGTCTCATAGTTGTAAAATGTTTCCAGCCCTCATCTATTAAACCAGCATGGCTGCAAGCAGTTAAAACAGCTACATAGGCCACAGAGTTAGGCTTGACTCCCTCCATTTCCATCTTCTCAAATAAGAGGATGGCTTCACGTGCATATCCATGCAGTGCATACCCCATGATCATGGCTGTCCATGAGATTGAATCACGTAACACCATCTTATCAAAAATCCACCGAGCTATCATGATCTTCCCGCATTTTGCATACATATCCACCAGTGAGCTAGATATGTACATATTATCAACAAAACCAGTTCTAATTATGTATGCATGGAGTTGCTTTCCCAAATGCAGTGTTGTCAAATTAGCACAGGCTGGCATTATACTAGAGAAAGATACCGGCAGAGGTTCTTTATTAGCAGCTAGCATCTCCCTAAACAACTTCAGCCCTTCATCAAACATACCATTTTGCACAAATCCTGCAATGATTGAATTCCACGAAACGTCATCCTTTTCAGCTAACTCACAGAAAACCCGGTATGCATCTTCCACCAGAGTACAATTGGCATACATATCAATCAAACTACTCCCAATAAACACATCTTTATCAAACCCATGCCTAATTGCATAACCATGTATTTCTTTTCCCTTCAAGACATCCACATGCTCAGCAAAGATAGGAAGGATACTGGACAAAGTGAAACTGTTGGGCTTCAAATCAGAATTCCCCATCTCCCTAACCATCTCTAGAGCTTCCTCATACATCCTATTTTGTACATTACCCCCAATGACTGTGTTCCAGGTAACAATATCCCTATTTGGCATCACCTCGAACAATTTCCTAACACTATCCACTTTCAAAGCTTTATTTATTCTCCTCTCTCCATTTTGGTTAGTATGACACAAACCAGGGACTTGTACCACCCCATCAATATTACTCCTTGAATCACCAGTCAATTCAAACACACTGTTAGATGCATCAATTTGCTTTCTTTCGGGAATTTCATCGAACATGTTGGGGTCATCCAACTCCTGCAACTTGGCATACATATTCATGAGTGCATTCCCAGTATAAAGATCGCAATCCAACCCACACCTCACAACATACCCATGAACAGACTCACCGAGCCTCAAATCCCGCAAATGGGTACACGCTTTAAGCACAGAGGGGAACACATTCCGGTCCGGGTACTTCCCGGAAGCTCTCATCTCGACAAAAGAACGCAAGGATTCGAAGAAGAGGCCGTTGGAAGAGTAGCATTTGATGATGGATTTCCAGGCTTTGGGCGGCGGCGGAGATGGGAGGGAGTCGAAGAGCGAGAGACATTCTTGTAAGAGGCTGAAGTTGGTGTAAATGGAAAGAAGGGTGGCGAGAGAGGGAGAAGAAGTGCTTCTGGTTTTGATGATGAGGGCGTGCAGCTGCGTGGCCTGGGACTTGGATTTGATCGCAGATGGGTTCGCCAACAGGGTTTTGAGGAGGTTTTGACCTGAAGTGTTCATAGTATGTAATATGTTGAAGAAAATCAAGAAATGAAGAGCTAAGAAACTAGAAAACTGTTTGTCATGCTAATAGCACCCGTCTGTACTATGTAACTTAGAGCATCCACAATGGTTGGGGAGAATTGGGGGATAATGTAAGAGTGATTAGGAGAGAGAATGTGGGAAAGGGAGAAAAAAAAAACAAAAAAATCAAAATCAAAAATTAAAAAAAAAAAAAAAAAAAAAAAAGAGTCAGGACGCGGCCGTGTGGACGGGCTGCTGTGCGCGAAACGCGCACAGCAGCCTCCTTTTTCTTCTCTTTCTTTTTCTTCTTGATAATTCATCTGACATTATCTCCAATTCTCCATAATATCCACTGATGTGGATGCTCTTAGCAAAAACCATTTGAAAACTCTTGAGGCAATTTCAATAGAAATTTTTTGTATGATTTTTGAAAAACAAACTAAAGAAGGCATATGTGGAGAGAGCGGGAGAACCAAAAAAAAAAAAAAAAAAAAAAAAAAAAAAAAAACTTTTTTTGAAAAGAACTGATTTTTACTCAGATAAGTAGATCCCACCATGTATGACTTGTATTTGGTCGCGTACAGCACAATCATAACGCCCAGTCAGGCACATTAATATGATGTCTTTCTTCTTTTTTCCCAAAAAAAGACTAATGATTTAGGTAACAACAATGTCAAGTTGATACACTATTTACTTAATAACTACAAAATTATAAATTCTATTTTTAAGAAGAATGATCTATTAGTCTTTTCAGTCACAAGAAATTTGCCCCATTACATTTGATTCTCAACAGCAAAAGCAATTGATTAGTCTTTTTGATATTGATAAATTTATCTTTTTATTATTTTTTGTCAACTAAAATTACGTCCATATACCTTAGATAATGACTGCGAGATTAATTTTCTTTATTACTCAATAATTTAAGGATGGTCAAAATAACAAAGTCCTTAAATTAAATTAATTTGGTTCTCGTTCAATTTAATCTGTACTTGAAATTTTGATACAAGTATCCAGTAACAATAGCTCTCAGTGCCTCTGACCTAGATGCTGCATAAAGAACTGTAAAAATCTCAGATTAAATTAACATCAAACAGCATCAATGCTGATCGCATAGTTTACCAAGTGGACACCCTCAGAAAGTGACTACTGGTATCCCCATCATCCAAAAAAGGAAAATAAGTAATCCATTGGGTGGGTTACAACTTACAAAGCTAACAGAAGTAGAAATGCACTAGAGATTATAATACAGATCCTGTTATTACAATATAGCAGGAGCAGAGAGGACTTGGTTTGAAGATGACCAGAATATTTAGCTGCATAGCATGTTAAAACTCTTAATCATCTTCCCTCTCTGGTGGAAGACCACAAGGTGCAAGCATTTTCTGCAAAAGCACACAAAAAGTATTAGATGCTACATTGCTATTGGCATTAGAAGTTGAGTCTCAAATATGAAAAGCAGAGGCACTCTCTCGTATTTTATAGTTGACTGTTGAGTCAATGTAGAAGCATAAAGCAAGCATTATACTAATTGCAGACTTGGTAAAACTCTACTATTATGAAACTAAAAATAGGAGAATCATTTTCATGAAACGGGTTTTTGACTGAAATGGTTATCTTTCATGAACGAGTGACACAAATGGACAACTTTTAAAACTTGGACAAAAGAAGGAAAAAAATCATTCAGGACTTGAGTTTCTGGTCAAAAACGCAAGTACCACTTGAGTTTATAAAATTTCTGGAATCCTTTTTTTTTCACCTGAAATACGAGAAACGCAAGTGGGCTCAGTATATATATGCCAAACGAAAGTCCCACTTGCTTTTGTGCTGTGTATTTTCATAAAGCACAAACTTGCCAGTATTGAACGCAAGTCCCAGGTGCTGTGTATTTTCAATGCCAGTATTTTGTTTTGATGAAACTGTAGTTTTTATCGTCATACGCAGAAGAAGTAATCTTGGTGGTAGCAGTAGAGATTTCAATCTTGGTGGTAGCAATAGAGATTTCAAGAAACGAAAATGGTTTCAGGGTTGGGATACTACTGTAAAAACAATTTTGATCGTCTCTGTAAAGCTACTGCATGGAGTTTCATTTTTCTCCACTGGCTCCTCCCACCAGAAATCCTGCCGTGTCTCCCGCTCCTCCATCCATCGCACAGGCTCCCCGAGGCAATGCTCCTTCCTCCCCTCCGCTTTGCTGTTCTGAATTCTTTGATCTGCCGGAGTTTTTTTTTAAAACAAACGCAAGTGGGACTTGTGTTTGTATATATCGTTTCTCATATTTCAGGAAAAAAAAAAAAAAAAGGATTCCGGAAATTTGACAAAATCAAGTGGTACTTGCGTTTTTGACCAAAAACTCAAGTCCCAAACAAGTTTTTCCTTCTTTTGTCCAAGTTTTAAAAGTTGCCCATTTGTGTCACTTGTTCATGAAAGATGACCATTTCAGTCAAAAACCCTCATGAAACTACCCAGATATGTAATATAGTTAAAAGAAAATGACCAAAGAGCCTTCAACACACAAAGCTAGAACAGAAACCACTGTCTGTCATGACAAAATATTTATTCTCAGCTTTTCGTACTCATATAAATTGGAGGTTTATTATTACATAATTGTTATTCAAATAAAATAATAAATTTTATTATTAAACATTGCAAGAAAAACATCTCATTGTGAGGAAATAAGAAAAAAAAAAAAAAAAAAAAAAAAACATTTTATGCTTGTTTGCAATTATACATAATTTGAAAATATTATGATAATAATGCCAAATCATATGATTACGGGGATACTTAGTTGCCAAATAATAGTCCAACTCAACATATTTGAGTTGGGTCATCCCTAATGGTGGGTTGGGTAGTATAACTGGATAAAATTGCTACAACATGTAAAGGTTTGGTATTAAATTGCCAAATTTTAAAGGTTTGGATATAATCAAAACAAAGTGCAAAGGTTTAGGTTTTTTTCACCAATAAGCCAAAATAAAATGTTAGGAAAAGGGAAAGGGTTATATCCTGGACTGCTAGTAGACTGTTAATTTTTTAAGCATTTCATCATGAGCAGAAAGAAAAATCAGAAACACGAGCTAAAATACAAGCTATGATTCTATTTTTATTAGAATGAGCTTAACTGAAATGGAGAGTTCAAGGCTAAGAGGGTAATAAAACTACCAAAAGGAAAAAAATAAAGTATACTTGCTTCTGAAATTAATATCAGAAAAAGTTGATCTAAGAGTGTAGTAATATATTACAGTTATGGCATGCAGTAAAATTGTAAAAAAGACTCTGATTGTCTAAATGCACTCTGGGAATATAGAAAGCAGTAAACTTGAGAAAACGCCACTCAAAAAAATCAGGCAAAATACAATAACATTAAAGCAACATTAACAAAATTCGGAGCACTAGAATTTGAAAGGCAGAGTTCCACTCATAATAATACAATAATAGTAATATGCGAAACTAACTACACACCTGCATGAAATTGTAGCGCTCTCTTCCAATAGATTCATTCTCCGCAATAGCAAAGTAGGCCAACATTGGGTAGTGGCCAATATAGGAAGCATAGCAATCGCGCTGAATATTAACTGCCCACTCACTACACACCAAATAAGAGCTATCAGTGATATTCTGGATGATAATCAGAGAAATTTTCAAAAAATTGGAATTTTAACCAGAACAGATATCAAACAATATACCAAATCCGCAAGCAGAAAATATGTAAAATAATAATAATAAATAAATAAAACAATTCGTTTAGGAAACTAACAATCTAGTCAAGTCAGCATGTCCAGTTCCTACATATCTAGCTTGCAAGTGTTCTAGCTGGGAGTTGATATTGAATCTATCACTTGCCTGCACCCACGAACATGTATAAGTAATTATATAGCAATATCAATTAGCGCACACGGCATATGAACACCAAACAAAATAGGGTTGAGAACAATGAGGAAATTTTAGGTTTTTTTTTTTTTGGGATCTTAAAGTTTAGCGTTTTGGATGCGATATGAACATTATAATTTGTATCGAATTAATTAAAAGGAAGACTAAAAATTAATAGGAATTCATTTTCAGGAATGTTACCTGCATTTTTTCCTTTCTTCCTCACTGAGTAGAAACGAGAAAGCAGCAGAAGATGTCAAGAGGAGAGAATTCTGCGTGAATAGATATGGTGTTGGATCTGGGCTGCTACTCTTTATAGGGATATTTGGGCCTGGTAGATAATTATTTATATTTTCAGGATTTTTTAATTTTATTTTATAGAACATATTTACATTCGATTTTTCCGTCCTTTCCATTTTTTATTACAATAAGGTAGATAACTGCTAGTAAACCATTGCTATAGGGAATAAGGTTCAAATTGGCCACTGAATATAACCTGAAAATGTAATTAAGTCACCGAATGAAAAAAAAAAAAAAATATATATATATATATATATATATATATATATATATATATATATATATATATATAATTATCCAGCCCGTCAACCCCCGTGGGGCGAACTTTGGTTGCATGAACTGTAGCTTGCGAATTTGGTGGGCCAACTCGCAAAAGCTCGCAAAAAATTAAGTTCGAAAAATTTTGCATGTGCATCTCTTGGAAAATGATTTCCAAAAAAAAAAAAAAAAGAGAAATCATTTCCTCTCAAAACATACATATTTTCCTTTGACTACTGCATCATTTTCCATTGACCTCATTTCTCTCCTCTTGCCAAACACTGAAAACTCGAAAAACATTTTCCGGAAGGCATTTTTCGAGCTTCCAAACGCACCCTAAACTATCATAGAATTTTACAATCCAAATAGTATGTCTAATTTACCTTCTATGTGTAATTTACAAACTATAACACATAAACAGAGCTTAACCAACGTACACCTTAAAATAGTAGTTATGAATTTTTTTCGTCACAAAAAAAAAAAGGGGGGGGGGGGGGGGGGGGGGGGGGGGGAAGAGTGGGTTAACAAGCATCAAATACATCTGGAATACAATATCTCAATCTAAAATGTGGCACTGCTACAATCACCCCTGATGAAGAAGGTAATTACAAGAGCAAGGTTACATCTTGACACAAGTTAAAAACACCAAACTACTAACAAAACACTGTTATATGCACTGGAAGAAATAATTTACACCAAGAATCAATAGGACCAATGCAAATACAGACTCCAGAAAAAACAAAATCAATCGCGGTTTCTGTCACGACTAATTACACTTCAAATAAACTACTACTGAAGAGCTGTTCGGTTTAGGATTAACATCAGTACTTTTATCCTGTATGTAATATGTTCGATTCACTATGGTTGGTCATAGTCACCCGCGTGATGCTATTGACAGGTTAGTGAGGTTCCGATTCACCGGATTTTGAGACTTCTAGCGGGGGAGGTAAGAGATTAAGGAAACTCCCCTTTGCTGATTGCGTGGAACCGGAATCTGAATCTTCACCTGTACACATGCAAACATTTACGTCTTACAAAATGTACTTGACTATGTAAAACGTTATGCGTGTTCCGCTTGTATCCAGGTAAAATGTGAGTCAAGTTAGTAAGAAAATCAATGGTGATCTGATGGTATGATCATGAAATCTACAGTTCTGTCATTAGTCAAAATGAAACTCGCTGCTAATTTATAGCACAGCCATCAAAATTAGTTGTCGGTGTTAAGAGTGTCCCACATTGATAAAATAAGTGAGCTTTATAAGTCCATCGGTTAGACTAGCTAATTAGTTGAATTCAATCTTTGGCCCATGTGCATTATAGCCCAGTTGACTGACTCTAGCCCAACCTTAATTTATAAGAGTCGGAACCACATAGGCAAGTGTTGGGCGGAGGCCGGTATGGGCCAAGTCCAGCACCATGTGGCTAGGGGGATTGTTGGGCGGAGGCCGGTAAAGGGCCAAGTCCGGCACCCTGACTCTCAAAAATGTGATGGCGGTCTATAAAAAAATAAAATTGCGCCTTCGCTACTAGCTATATCGTTTAGCATAAGTGGTAAGCACTTGATCCTAACAGTAAGCAATAGGTATTCAAGTACTAATATGCACACCAAGTATTGATGTTATAATTGTACGATGGTAAAAGGCCAACTAAAATACAGTTGCACAGAACAGATACGAAGAATGATATATGCACAGGAGAGACGAAGAAGACGTACTGAAAAGGGCCTTCACGCTAGGCCTCTTAGGTTTAGTGCTCTTCTTCTTCAATTCAGCTGAAAATAGAAAACCATTGAAGATAAATGTTAGTAGCAGGCAAAATATTGGCAGAACAAAAATTCCTCTCAGAAAGGTAGCGGGAAATAGAGATGCAGAATGAAAAGTCGCCTAGCAAGTGTCCAAGTCATAATTTTTAGAGTGGGACGAGCAAGATACCAATTCCAGGAACTTCACTTTCATTCACAATCTCATAGTTTTTGTACGTGTAACCCATAAAGTTGACATCCTTTGAAGGGAGCATCTGAAGCAAGAAAAAGAAGAAGTGGCAAAATAAGTATGCCTGAAAACACCTTGAAAAGAAGTACGGAGTTACAGTCAATCAATACAGAGATAGTAACCGGACTTCAAGAACTATCAATTGATTGACCTCTATAAACAAAATCAAGAGGCCGATTGTGTAATTTGATAAACTACTATGCGTGGAAAACAAATTTTTGGAGTTGACCACTTCTATCCAAGTACGTAAACCTATAAGAATCTTTCACAGCTAATCTGGAAGCAACAAGTGTATCTCTATTACACAGGCTCCATAAAACCAGACCTACACGACACCATAAAAGCAGGCATGCACTATTAAATTAAACGTATCCAAGCATATGCCCATGCCTTCGAAGCCCTCCTGTAAGGAGACCAACTGGAGTATACACATAAGACAGCGGAAGTGCCCAATCAACCCGTCCTCTTCTCCCAATTGCCCCAACACTCTATGGTAGCCAATAAATTTGTCTTGAAAAATATGCCAGATGCACTCACAATTAGTGTTGCAACAATCCCGCCTAGGCACCAATTAATCGGCACCTAGGCGCTAGGCACTGGCTGGCCACCTAGCGTATCACCATAACCGGTGGTCTAGGAGCCGACTAGACCGCCTAAGCGCCGCCTAGGCCTCCTAGGCACTGACAAGGTCGCCTAGTCGGCCAATTAGCTATTGTTCCCTTCTTTTTTAAATGGGTTATTTCACTCAAAACGATATCGTTTTGTGCGAAATAACCCTAAATTGTTCAAACTCTAGATGTTTTTTAGGTTAATATTTAATATTTTAGTATTAAAAAGTTTATAATTATCAAGTCTTAAAAAATTTAAAAATTTTAAACAAATTTTTAAAAAATAAAAAATACACAGGCACCTAGGTGCCGGTTAATCGCCACCGCCGCCCCCTGAGCGCCCGAACAAGTGTGAACAAAACAAATTTGAATGAAGACCATATAACGAAAGGTCACCCATTTTGTCAACAGCTATAGAGAAAATGGTCATGCAACATTCTTGGTTGCTTGGCAGATTATTATAAAACTTCAGTTGTAAAATATGAAAAAGCCATAGAAAAAATTAAAAAAAAAATCCACTTAGGTGTACTAACCTTCCTCCATGGACCTGATTTTGTTGCTGTTGGAACTTGATTATCACTCTGAAGCAACCAGAGACAACCAAATGTTAATACGTCAAGCAATTAAAAAAGTAACACAATAATGTGAAGGATAGCCAAAAGGATGACTTATTCACCTCTTCAAATTTCTCAAAATTTTGAGTATCCAACTCATCATTAACTTCTGGAATAAATGCAGCCTTCATTTGATATAATTTATCCCATTCAATACCCTTGAACCATGGGTGAGCCTGAAAAAAATAGTCAATAGGCTATTCATCAACCTCGATCTTATGAAATGTACAAAGGATTTCAAAGATAATATAAATATGTACCTTTATTTCATAAGCGCCTTTTGTTCCAAGTCTTTGTTCAACATTACATAAAAGTTTACAAATGAGATCCTTTGCTTCAGGTGATAGTTTTGCCTCCTCTGGAAATTTTAAATGTGTACGCCAGTTTACTATCTGCAGCAAAAAAGAAGACATAAGTGATGATTATGCTTAAAAGTGTTTGGTAAAATTAGCTTTATGATAAGCTGATAAATGTAAAAAGACTAAAAAGGACATCTTCATAAAATTTAAATATGTTTGTTTGCATATTAAAATTTAACATTTTGAAATGAAACTATTAGCATAATCATGATCTAGCATCCCATAATGAAGTAGCGATATTGTTATTTGGGAGGGGTAAAGGATGTCATTTATTTAAAATAATAATCATGATCTAGCGGGAGGGGATGAATAAGAGAAAAGGCCAAAAGGGTTTTAATTGGGAGGGGTGAAGGGTGTCATTTATTTAAAATAATAAGAATAAAGATGAAAAAAAAAAAAAAAAAAAAAACTAGGAAGCTACTAGCTTATTTTTGAAAAGATACCTTACAAAATAAGCTCTTATTTTAAGTTACTAGCTTATTTTTTTGGGAACATTACCAAATAGAGCTTATAGCTTATTAGTAGATTAAAATAAGCTATAAGCTCCTAGATAAGCTCTACCAAACAGAGCCAATATAGATTACCTTTCTACAAGTAGACATTGGTTCATCTGAATAGAAAGGCGGATATCCCACCAACATTTCATACATAATCGCGCCAAGTGACCACCTGAAAAAATATAATATTCCAAATAATCTAACTCAGAAGCACAGGAAACATTTTCTGTATGAAATGTAAAGGTCATAGATACTAGGTACAGACCAATCACATTCCATTCCATATCCTTTCCTCAATAAAACCTCTGGTGCAATATAATCAGGTGTACCTACAGTTGAATAAGCCTGCAGGACCAAATATGTTAGAAGTTCGCATTCCCTTCCCATAGAAAACAGCAAATGATATACTGAAGAATAGTTCAACTAAGATATGTTGAATTTGGAGGATGGAATGGCCTGGTGGGTGGAGAATAACACCACCCGCCAGTTAGGCGGAAGCAATATGAAGAATCAAGGAATAGAAAATGTGTAGATAATGTATGATTCTGTATTATCTATCTGTGTTTCTAATAAAGAAACATAGGGGGTGTTTGGTTGGATGGAAGTCAAATTCAATAGAAAATGTTTTCCTAAAAGTGTAGGAAAATGTTGTTTTATGTTGTTTGGTTGGATGGAAAATCTTTTCCATTGGAAT